CATATTGGGCAACTAAGAAAAGGGGGCTCGTCTTTTCGGGGTGTTCTTCTCCCACTCCCCTCTTGCTCATCCCTCCGCGACTCTGACGCCGGCAAGGTTTGGAGAGCCGCTCGGTTCGCGCGACCCGCGGGCTTGCACCAGCCTGGACTCGGACGGGCTCTGCCGCCCCCGCCTCTCGCCTCTCTCCTCCCCTCCCCTCCCCGCCCTCCCGCTCCCTGTACACTTGATCGGCGGAGACTTGGGGCTGCCTGGCCGGGGCTTCCCCCTCACCCCTCCCTAGACCCAGCGCGCTCCTGACGCTCGCCAGTTACTTGTTGGGGTTTGTTTCTCTTGGCTCCCAGGGCAGGCGCAGGGCTTATAAGAGCAGTTCGGGCTGGGTCGGGGCGTTTTGTTTTGTTCGGTTTTGTTTTGCGAGCGCGCGCGCGAGAGGCGGTCGTAAAGACCTGGGAGGAAGATGTCAACCGTGAGAGTGTCTAACGGGAGCCCGAGCCTGGAGCGGATGGACGCCAGGCAGGCGGAGTACCCCAAGCCCTCCGCCTGCAGAAACCTCTTCGGCCCCGTCGATCACGAAGAGTTAACCCGGGACTTGGAGAAGCACTGCCGGGACATGGAAGAGGCGAGCCAGCGCAAGTGGAATTTTGATTTTAAGAACCACAAGCCCCTGGAGGGCAGATATGAGTGGCAGGAGGTGGAAAAGGCCAGCTTGCCAGAGTTCTACTACCGCGCGCCACGGCCACCCAAAGGCGCCTGTAAGGTGCCGGCGCAGGAGAGCCAGGATGTCAGCGGGAGCCGCCAGGCGGTGCCTCTCGTCGGGTCCCAGGCAAACTCGGAGGACACGCACTTGGCGGAGCAAAAGACTGATGCGTCGGACAGCCAGCCGGGCTTGGCGGAGCCGTGCGCCGGGATGAGGAAGCGACCTGCAGCAGACGGTAAGGACCCTCCCCAAGCCATAAAATGTCTGTCTGTCTGTCTGGGGCACCGCCTTGCCTGCTTGCGGGGCTGGACCCATCCCCTTTCTTTTCAGCCTACTCCGGTGCGTAGCTTCTTGGGAGGGAACTTTCGTAATCTTAGGTTGCGCGTGCTGTCCGACTGCTTTCTCTGTGTTTATGATTTGTGAGTCAGGAGCCGAGATTGTGTTATCTGATAATTTTATTAACCGAAAGCATCGCAGATGCTCGCGTCTAGCCGGCGTAGGTATGTGACAGCGTTGGGGTGTTTATCAGCGGCCTCCCTCTACACTTGGGAGAGAGCGTTTGGGGCGTAGCAAGCGCTCTCTGTTCTGTGAAAACAACCTCAGTCTGCGCCCTGAAAGGCTGCTTGGCATGACGGGGTCCAGGATGTGGGTGGAGGTGGTGGGTTTTGCATTCCCCGACTATTGAGCCAACTTCTGCCAGCCATTGTTTTTTCTAATAAAGACTGTGTGTGTTCTTTTTTTTTTTTTTTTTAATCCCCTCTTGTCCCTAGATGCCTCTTCGCAAAACAAAAGAACCAACAGAACAGATGAAAATGTTTCAGACGGTTCCCCGAACGCGGGCTCCGTGGAGCAGACGCCCAAGAAGCCGGGCCTCAGAAAACGTCAAACGTAAAGTGCTCGGGTGGGTTGATGACCAGGAGCTAATAACTGGCACCCGAACCGGGCAGCAGGAACTCCCTGAGCTTTCCAACCCCAAGATAACCTGATCTCAGTGGCTGCCGGCAGATTAGAGCTTGTGGGTTTTTCTTTTGTTTATATTTTGTTAAGTCAAAAAAGCAGGAATGGCGAAGGCTGGGACGTCACTGTGGGGATACTGTATTTCTTCTCAGTTTCCATGTCCTCGGGTCATTTTCCCTTGGAACACGAAATGACGAGAGCAAGTGTCCCAGACAAGTCCTTGTCACCAGGGCCCTGTGGGTAGTAGCAACGTAAGTTCCCCGTGAGTCCCACCAAAACAAGTTGGGAACAATAGGTTCTTTCCTCATCTGACCAAGACCTAGGGGTGTATACCTCAGACCCACTTCAGGGGAATTCATTTCCTAGAGGTTCAAGTTGAATAACATATTCTGGGCCATACATGGAAAAATGCCCCCCCTCCCCCCCAAAAAAATTAAATTTAAATTTTGAGGGAAATGTTAGGTACAAATGGCTCATATTTGGTTAGTCAAACCGAAATGCAAAAAGAGAGGCATGTTGTATCCTTTTATCATTTTTATAAACTGTCACTTTCCCTGTTTTCTGATAAGTTTTGAGGTCAGAGAAGGAAGCTGCATATTTTTAAAAACCAAAATAGAGAGCTCAAACAACAACAACTAAGGTTCCTACAGAAGTTCTGATAACACTGAAGTTGCAAAGCAGAAGTTAAATTAACTCTGCCAGAGTAAGCAATCCAGGAACACGTCAGCGTGTGTATGCTAATCACGCTATACCAGGGTGATCTGGATATTTGTACGGGAAATGGATAGCAGATATCAGGGCTGTCGAGGGTGGGTCTACCCCCAAACAAGGGAAGTGGAGATTTTTCCATCTACTAAAATCGATCAACATAAATAATTTGAGTAACTCCCCCCCCCCAACTTTACATGGATTAGCTTTTCATAATGAGCAAAATATAGATATTAATAGTGTGTATACTTCTTACGGACAAGACTGTGACCTCTTCCCCCCCCCCCCCCATACATGCTCATAGCCTAGCATACAAAGAGATCTTAATAGATGTTGGTACTAACTTTTAAAATCCTCATTTATAAAAATTTAAAAATAAGTTAAAGAACCATAGGGATTAAGGTGGGATTCAAGTGTGTTGTGTTTTTAAATCATAATGTCATATATATGACTTCTTCAGATACATCTGATATTTTCAGAGCTTATACAAAACGGAACTATAGACCCTCTATATTACAGCTGTATATGAAGGGGAAAATTGGATGAAAAACTGTTCTGACACATCCTCATCACCTGCAGCTATTATTGGTTTGTGACTTGTGGCCTAGCTCAGTAGATGAGCCACTGTAAATCAGACCTACTGGATTTTGACCTGGTCTCATTGTGACATAGAGAGGCATTTGTTAGTAAATATTGCCCTTTCAGAGAATACTAGAAATAATAGGAAGGCCCTCTTCAGGAGCATTCACAGGTATATCCTGTACATGACTAAGACACTAGGATATTTTGGGAAAAAAAATGTTAATAGAATTTTCTTTGTAGACTAGAAGTTATATTTTCCATTGTTTCTCAAATTTAGAAAATTTTGCAACTCTTAAGTGTTACAGTTTCTTAATTTTCCTCTCTCCGTTCTTTCTCACCATCTTTGACCCCCATTCTCTAGACCAGGGTTTCTCAACCTCTGCACTGTTGACATTTTGGGCCAAGTAAGTCTTTGTTGTGGGAGGTTATCCTGTGCATTATAGAATGTTTGGCAGCATCCCTGGTCTCTCCCACTAGATGCCAGTAGCCACCCCCCTTGTGACAACCAAAAATGTCTCCAAACGTTGCCAAATGTCTCCTGGGGGACAAAATTGCCCACTGTTGAGAACCAGTGCTGGAGACAAAAGTACACAACACAGAGGAGAGCAAAAATCCAGTGAAGGGAAGAAACGTTGGATAGAGATGACTATAGTCATCAACTTTTAGTACATACTTTCTTTTCCATCAGGTATTTCCCAACGAAGACAGTGGCAAATAATTCCTGTACTTTATTGGTAATGTTATTCTAGTACTTTTCTCCTAATTCTTTCCTCTGTTTCTCTTGCAGAATTGAGACTATGTTTCCTTGTTTATCAGATACATCATTGCTTGGCGAAGCAAGGAAGATACGAATTAAACATTTTAAATACATATCGCTGACTCCATGGAATGGATGTCCTGTATAAGCACTGAAAAGGAACAACACAATAACACTAAAATTTTAGGCACTCTTAAGTGATCTGCCTCTAAAAGCATTGGATGTAGCATCGTGCAATTAGGTTTTTCCTTATTTGCTTCATTGTACTACCTGTGTATATAGTTTTTATCTTTTATGTAGCACATAAACTCGGGGGAAGGGAGGGGGGGAGGGTGGAGCTGAGGAATTGGCTTTGGGAGGTATGAAGAGCTTGCTTCGATTTAGAGCAAGGAGAAAATTATTTGACTTAACATGAAGAGAAGCAGTTTAAGGAAAGGGTTTGAATTGTTTTCTTTAAAGTTGTAATGTCCCTTTCAGTGAAAACTGATACTTCGTTTTAAAAATCATCCAAATTTGAACACTGGCTGCAGATAACTGCTATTTATTTTTTACATGAAGCTATTTTTTTCATTTGGGAGCTCTGATTATTCCGTTATGTAGCAGTAAATGGCTTTTATTTTTTTTTTAACAACAACAAAAAACTGTCCTTAGTGCTCCCCTTAAAATTGGAATTTACTAGTTAATTATTTAGCAGTTAGGTAATCACTCCAGGTAATTATAGGCAAAAAAATATAAATGGAGGGGGGGAGTCTGAATGCTCAGAATCAACCATCTAATTTTTATCAGATTTGTTGAGAAAATTTCTGAATTTTCTTTTCACTTTGGGCTGTGTAGACAAAGTCAAAATAATTCTAAATCCTTGGATATTTTTAAAAGCTCTGTAAGTAATTTCACATGAAAAATAATGAAATAATTTTAAATTTAAAGCTTCTTATTCTATTTGCTAATTTGCCCAAAGGAAAGTAGTGTTTTAAGAGGAAAGTGTGTATACAAAAAGCCCGTCTGGTATAAGTGAAATGGATACTACATCTTTAAACAGTATTTTTCATTTCCTGTGTATGTGTATGAAAAAAAAAACACCATTTGAAGTGTACCTGTGTACATAACTCTGTAAAGACACTGAAAAATTATACTAACTTATTTATGTTAAAAAAAGATTTTTTTTTTTAATCTAGACAATATACAAGCCAAAGTGGCATGTTTTGTGCATTTGTATATGCTGTATTGGGTAGAATAGATTTTTCCCCCTTCTTCTGTTAAATAATATGGCTGTGCTTAAAAGGTTGCATACTGAGCCAAGTATAATTTTTTGCAACGTGTGAAAAGATGCCAATTATTGTTACATATCAAACAATCAATAAAGAAAGCTTCCATAACTATTCATTGAGTTGAACTGTGTATATTGTGTTTTACTAAGCTTGAGGTATTCAACCTGGCATTTTAGTCATATTTACACAAATGTAGTAGGAAGTGGAAAATACCTAGACAATTCAGGCCCACAACTCATATGTTTATGTGGATTCGAATGTAGTAGTAACTATTTTCCAATTAGTTCTGTAGGGGTGGACAAAGCTTTAGAAGTAAAACGTGGAAAAGCCATATTTTCATGTAAATAAGATTGTTAAATTCTCCATTAGTTCAAATATTTATGTCTTCTAGGATATGAATGTGTCAGAACTAAAAATTCCTACATAAGTGTACACTGATCACACATTTGCAGGATTGAAAATGAAAGTAACATTGGTGACTTCTCTAAATTCTCTATTTACACATGCGAAATGTTGTGGGGAATTAGAGCAATTGTTTAGAGCGTCTAATCTACACCCCGTGTGCAAAATACTCAAATTTATAGGCCCTTTAGAAATTAGTGTGCATTCCACACTAATTTAGATAAAACCAGCATTCTTCAAATTTCACTGGTCATCATACACAAGTTCCTAAACTTATAAATTTCCTGGTAATCTACACAACCCAAAATTGGTTAACCTAACACAAAAATCTGAGGGTTTTAGGTTCTCATATTTACATAGCAGAGAGAGATATTTTTTACTTAAATAAGAAAAAAAATTCGGACATTTTAAAGTCAGATTTACTAAAATCCTGTAATTTTACATTCTCTTCAAAATGTCAAAGTAAATTTTTTTTTCTAGGAAACTGCAAATGGTTAAATCGCAAAAATCTGAATTTGAATTAAATTGTTTCCCTCAAGTAGTTACATTCACATTGTTGCGCCCCAAAAGGGGCTCTAAACAAGATAATTTCAGCTTATTTTGACCCGAAGTTGCGTGTGTGTGTGTGTGTGTGTGTGTGTGTGTGTGTGTGTGTGTGTTAAAAATAGGGTTCTCTCTACAGCTGCGGGAAGGGAAAAGTAGGTCCTTTGCTGGCTGGGCTACATTTTCCAAGTAGGTATTATTTTAATTAAAGACTGAAAGGTGTTTTTGTGATTCTATTCAAAACACGTATGGGTGTTTTTCAGGAAGACACTAAGAAAACAAGAAAAACAATTCAAAATGGGGAGGAAGGAGTGGAGGGAGAATCAGGAAATAATGAAATAAAGTTTCTCTGAACCAAAAAGGGTACTTTAAAAATAAAAAAGTTTTTCTAACATGAAAAAATTCCTCTTAATTGTTGCACGGACCCCATTTCCCTTTCCTAAAGAGGCACCTTTAATGTGAATTTTTAGAGGTTGCGTTTTAGGAGTGGTGGGCCAGGAAGCGGTGGATGCTCGCCGCGCTGGGCACGTTCACAACTACGCAGTCCCCAGTCGTCGTGTTGATCCATTCCACTCCTGTGTCAAGTCTCCAAATGCGTCCCCCGCGATTCGGAGCGTCCTCTCCCCGGTCCAGGACTGCGTCGCCCGCCGCGAGCGTCCCTCGGAGGGGACCGGGCCACCAGCACCAGCCACCTTCTGTCCGGCTACCCTGGCCACTGCGCCCGTCGTCTCTCCCTTATTGCCCCGCAGTTCCGCGTTCCGCCCGCCGCGGTCGTTGCGGGGTCGGGCTTGCTGACGCTTCGGGAACAAAAAGACCAAGTCTGGCTCCGGGTCTGCAACTTGCAACTCCCGCACCGCCGGGGTCCCAGAGCGCTGTACCCGCGCCCGGGACGCCCCGCAGGCCGCAAAGGGCGGCTGCGTCTCCCCCTGCGCAGCGGAGCTGAGCGGTTTCTCCGAAACTTGCCTCCCTCATCATCTCTCCTCTGGGCTAAAAATGAAGCGAAAGCCCCCCACTCCTCTCGCCAAACAGACGCTCCTCATCAGTACTCTGCCAACTCCAGAGCGATGGGGGGACCTGAGCGAAAGGGAGAACTTTTCCGAGTTCGTGTACCTCCTGGGCAGTAGCACGC